CATTACAGTAAGAAAATATACACTGAAGAAAACAGTAAATAAAGGACCGCCTGGCTCTCAGAGAGTGCTAAAGGGCAGAGAGCCAATTCCAAGAGCTGATAGTGAACTCAAAACACAGAGAAAGAGAGGTATTTGAGTACATAGCAAGAGATACCTAGTCAATTTTAAATTCAACCAAGTCTAATCCAGGACTAATTAGAATCTAGTATCTCAAAGGTTAAATAACATAGAGTAGTCTCAAAGCAGCAACAGAGAAGAAACAGATAACATTTAAGGTTGTCTGGGTTTCACCTGATGGAAAGCCTCAGCCGGAGCTTCCTACACTGCAGAAAGTGACCAGAAATGTTCACAGTAGCAAAGGAATTTAAATACAAAAGACTGCAGCCAGGAAACTCTGCCCAGCAAAGCTGTGCTTCAGAAGTGAATGTTAGGAAAGTACATTCTCAGACTCCCAGAAAAAGGGTCACTGTGATGGATGACAGAAAGGATAAAACATAACCAGACAATGGAGTTCAGAGGTGCGATATTTGGGAGATGGTTAGGATGAGATATGCTCATTAAGTGCAGCATGCATAATTCAACATCATTACTACAGAAAAAGCCAGAGATCAGATGTAAGTCTACACTCCCTGCCTTCTACTATGTAATGTTCATTATCACTTCAGGACACTGCCAGCAAGGTTATCGCCACATATGACCACTCAGCTCAGATCGGAACCATGAACCAGCAATTCTTTATAGAGTTCATCAATCCATCAGGTATTTTATTATAGTAACTAAAAATGGACTAATACAGTTGGATTTTCTAGGCAAAGAGCCTTACTAGTCTTCATGTACTGAGAGTTTTTATAATAAATAGGTGCTAAATTTTTATGATTTTTGTGGAGCAATTGTGACAAACCTATGTTTGTTTGTTTTAGTTCAATAAATGTACGTTGTATTAATGGATTTCTTGTACCAGTGCATCCTAGCTCCTGTGGGATGAGCAGCATTTAATTTGATGGACTACCTTTTTAATGCACCATGATATTTAGTTAGAGAACATTCCGGTTAAGAGTTTTGAAACTATATCTTCATAAAAGTCAACATGAAAGTTAACCAGGTTTCCCATGGTTTCACATTGGGGAATAAGATGGGCAGCTTTTGCTTTTCTCTATTTTTCCAAAATAACTTCTAAAAATACAAAAAGTCAATTGTGTGTCATGAAACTTTGATAGAAATTTCTTACAAAGTCTTCAATCTAAATTTGGGGCAGGGGATAAAGGACCTTCATACAGGTACTAACATTTACATACATGACTGGTGGATGGTGGAGGAAGGTTTCTCAATGTTGGAGCCATAAAACTACAGTGAGGCTAGACAGATGGCTCAGCAGTTAAGAGCACTAGCTGCTCTTAGAGACGAACAAGCTTGGTTCTGGGCACTTGCATGGCAGTTCACAACTGTCTACAGTTCTAGTTCCAGGGATCCAATGTTCTCTTCTGAACTCTGTAAGCACTGGTATACGTAAAGGTAAAACATCCACACACATAAAGATAAATAAATTCATTCTTAAATAAGTAAGACTATTAAATGGAAATGAGTTTTTAATTACATACAAAAACAAGAAAAGCTAAAATGATCTAAACGGTGATAGGTAGAGCTGGGAACATCAGTGTGAACTCATGCTTAGCTTAATACATAAATATAAGTAAGTAACAGAAAGAAATGAAGTTTTGAAAACATGAGCATACACATGGAGTTTCTTCAAGGAAAGACAGCAACCAAATAAAAGAACTCCCATAGGCCAAAGCTGTATTTATCTAAGCAACAACATACACAAAGTAGCAGTATATTGTAGCAGGAAGTATAGGTATAAATCCATGGTGACAGAAGTTATACAATAAATAAATAGAATGAAAGCAATAAACAGCCTGTGTAGAATTTTAAATAATATATGTAGTTGTCTCTTTCAAGTAAATGAAGCACAACCCCTCCCTTTAAGCATTGGTCCTGCATAATGACTCTCTTCCTTACAAAGAGGACATATGGAGAGGAGGAAGCAGGGTAACAACACTGGATAATGGTGAGAAACTGTAGCAGTCTTGCTGGTGAATCTGTAATGGTGGCCACACCCCTTTGGACGTGGCTTCAGACTGACAGAAGCCAAAAGAGGGAAGCTTGAGGCGTGGCTACTTTTTTTTCCAGTTCTTTTTTTTTTATATTTTTTTTATAAAGCTGGGGAAACAGCACTGGACGGAACCAAGCCAAGAATGAAATTTTCTAATAATTAATTACAATAATATTCACAAAATTGGGGTTGGAGCAGAAAATAAGTTGACATTCTGATTGGAGCAGAAAATAAGCTGACCATGGAAAATCACTGTAAAATTGCATCTTTGGTGTCCATTCTGAAGCTACCATGACTTCCAATCTAACACCTTACTTTCTTCATGTAAAATTCATTGGGAAAAGCATAGTCAATGAATCATTTATTATATGAGTGGAATAGTGTCTTAGCATAGCCTGTAGCTGAATATAGATGCAATGTTATCACTGATACAAGTGTACAGTGTCTAAGTGTGTAAAAGATAATAAATTTGGGGGGGAAGAAAAACTGTAACACTGGATGGTATACAGCAAATCTCATTTTATTTGCACATAGCAAATGATCATGACAGGAACTGACCCCTTTCCTCAATGCTATCCCTAAAGTTTTGTGGCAGGAGAGGGAGAAAGTCAATTACTATTCCTATTTAAATGGTGATTTATGGCCTATTAAAATATTCATGAAGGAAAAATTATGCTTTGAAAGTTGTTTCTGAATGAAGCAACCAAATTATGAATGATGCTGGCCCACCTTGTGCTCTTCAAATATGTTTAGGCCACAAATGTTATTTGCCTATAGTAACACACAAGGCTTACTGTGAACATAGTGATTTCTCCAACAAAATACATGGTAGCTAGAAATTTAAACAAATATTTATCATGTAGTGTTATGAAGGAGATTAGTGTCCTTCCATTACTTTTCCTGAGCCATAAGCTTGTATCTTACCTGCAATTATCTTGGGATGTGTGTGTGTGTGTGTGTGTGTGTGTGTGTGTGTGTGTGTGTGTGTGTGATAAATTTCATACATGGTAAATGTATGCAATTGTAATTTTATGCTTTTTTATGTGTGTCCTGAGTATCCCATCTCAGATCTCTTCTGTGGGTGTGCATGCACACTTGTGCCTGTGCAAGTGAAAGCCAAAAGTCAGGTGTCTTCCTTGATCCTTCTCTGGTTCCTGAGAGAGGATCTTTCACTGAGCCCAAAGATCACCCATTTGGCAAGGCTGCTTGAGATCAATAAGATTTAGACTGAGCTCTGCTTCTCCAGAGCTAGGATTACACGGTGCTGTGCCAGGCTTCTTTTCATGTGCCCTGAGCTTCCCACCTCAAGTCCTCATACTTGAATAAGCAGGCCCTTTACCAGGTGAGCCATCTCCCCAACCCCTGAGAGTGAGTTTTCAAAGAAGAGGGAAATGGCATTTGTCTATGGATATCAGAAACGATTCAGAGAATCACAACTTGGGCAACATTTTTATTTAAGTAAAGATTTCTTGGTATTCAACCTACATGTTTAAGCAGTATCTAGGAATAAATTCAATGGGAAGAGGAAATACCACAGGATCCAGGAGCAGAGCACCTCAAGTGCTGCAACATGGAACAGGCTGTTGTGCTTCACCATGGAAGTACTTGATGGGAGAGTAAGGATAAGAGAACTCAGAGCCAAAGCTGAGCCCACGGGAGCAGCTTGTGCTGTGCTGGTGCAAGATAAGAAGAAAAATAAAACACCTGTATCATACTTATCTCCCTAGAAAGGCCAGTAGATTTGTGAAGAACATGTTTCTTTTTTTTTTTTTTTTTAGGCAGTCAAGACAAGAAGCTATATTTTGTTCTAGTTTTTGTTTGGTTTTCTCTTTCTTAAATGTATTTGTTCCTTGATAATTTCAGAGAGTATTTTTTTATGAATTTACTTTTTACATTCCAATCCCAGTTCCCCCTCCCTCCTCTCCTCCCACTCACTCCACTCCCCCCTCCTCCCATCTGGTTCCATGGAGAGGGTAAAGCCTCCCCCAGGAAGTCAACTAAGTCTGTCCCATCATCTAGTTGAGGCAGGACCAAGGCACCTGTCTGCCCCCACACCCCTGTGTCAGATAGTATATTTTTGTTATAATCTTTTCTGTCCCTATCTCTTCCAAGAGCCTCTCCCATGTGTAGGATGGGAGAAAAAATAGATGAGGCACAAGAAACTGGTAAAAAGATCAGGCAGTGCTGATTAACCAAGAGGTGGTAGAGCAGATTGTGTGTTGATGCTGTCTTCTGTCCGGGGTTGATAGTAAGAACTACTGGTAACTGACCATTGCTGTGGGACAAACCTCAAAAAAAAAAAAAAAAAACCCATGGAAAGGCAAAAATGAACTATTAAAACAGTAAAACTGATGTCAGTCTGTGATACTGGGTTTCTATCATTCAAGGTAAGTTTTTGGAGCTCCTTCCAGTACCCCTTCTCCAGCTCCTACTGCATCACATAGGACTGATCAAGATGCTGTTTTGAATTTCTTCAATCAGAAAGATTGAAAACTTATTCAACCACTAAAGACACTGAACTAGAACTGATTATAAAAGAAATAAAACCTATTAAGGGTTTGCATAATCTGTCTGGTAATACAAAGAGCAGAAATCCTGTTTTGAAACAATTACGATAGAATGTTGCAAGCAACTCTTTGTTTAAGATAATGATAAAGGTGTATAGAATTTTCATATCCCTTTAAAGAATACAAGTCAGAATTTACATGGAGCATTATACCAAGTATTCAGTGATTTGGAATTTGATTTGTTTGAAATCTTTTGAATTGTGAATGGAAAAGTCACACACCTTCATTATTAATATCAACAATTATTAAGAATTCCAAGACCATACTGTACAAAGTAGTGACTATAGTTAGTAACAATACATGCATTTTTGAGAAATACTTACCAGGTTCTGACTACTCGATATGGGTTAGAGGAGCACATTGACACAGATGCACCACATCTTGGTTAATCAGCACCACCTGGTCTTTGCAACAAATTTTAAGTTGTTTAAGATTTTAAGTAAAGTGTTCTGTGCCCCCCACAAAAAAAAAATAAAGGAAAGAAAGAAGGAAGGAATTCATAAGAAGTAATATGTATATTAATTATCTCAATTTAGTCACTGCATACATATACATATATGATTACCAAAATGTACTTAGTTTTTATTTGCCAAATTACAAAAGCAATTTTACTTTTAAAATTGAATGTCTTCTTAATTAAAAAGATAACTATAGGCCTTGACTCTAGGAACTGCTTTTTGTCCTAGAAAATCATGGTTTTTAGCAACATAAGAGAAGCAAACGCAATAGTCCATCAATGTTTCACAAGCTGGAAATGAGAGAATAGGCACCTGATCAGCTACAAATCAATAATATGCCACATGTCTGAATTAAAATGGCACTTGTGTTTGGAACAGATTGAGAGAAGTGGGAGCAGGGTGCTTCATTTGTGTGGGCTGGGACATGTGAACACATTCTGGAGAATACCATCCTCAGCAAACAATGCTGCTAAGAACCAAAACTCCCTTTTCTTGTCACTCCAATCAACTCTACACAGATCAGAGACTTGTTTCCTGTACATAAGCCCTGAAGCCCTCATACACCCTAGAGAAAACACACCAATACCTCATGACAATAAATATGCAGAGCCGAGCCTCCAAAGCACAGGGAACAAGCAAAAGTAGATAAACAGTACAACATCAAACTAAGAAGCTCCACACAACAAAGGAAGCAATCAACAGAGTGAAGACACAAGAACAACACTCATGAACTAGTCATCTGACTAGGGATTAATAGCCAGAAATTTCAAAGAACTCTAAAAAGTCAACATCAAGGTTGTTATTTTAAAATAGACGCATGATCTAAATAGACATTTTTGGAAAAAGAGACTACAAATGACCAACATGTATATGAAAAATGCTTAAGGTAACTAATCATCAGAAAAAAAACAATCAAACCACAGTGAAATATAATCAAACATGGTTATAACAACTATTACCAAAAAGACAAAAATAAAAAAGCTATTGAGAATGGGAAGGAAGGGGAACTCCAGACAACTGTTGATTGAAATATCCAGTATAGAAAAGAGTATGGCGAGTCTTCAAAAAAAAAAAACTAAAAATAGAAATACTTCATGATCTAGAAATAGTACTAGATATTTTGATCTAGTATATTTTGAATATAATATTCAACTATAAAGGAGATCCCACACCCATTGTTATACTATCAGTATAGCAATTTCTCTCTTATTAAGCAAGGTGCCCATTAATGGATAAGTGAATAAGGAAAAGATGATATGTAAACATAATGAAATGTTATTCCACCATAAAAAGAAGGGAGTAGAGTTCTCTTTAGAGCAACATAGAATGAAGCAGAAGGTATCATTTCGAGGGAAATAAAGTAAGCACAGAGAGACAAATGCTGCACATTCTCACTTATCTTGAGGAACTTAAAAAACTTGTTTTAGAAGAAGAGGGCTAATAGTGATTAGTGGAGATCAGGAAAAAGAACAAGAAAAGATATAAAGGTTATTGTCTGATACCAACACATTTAAACAAATGAATTAACAATGATGTTCTACAGCACCATAGGGTAACTACTGTTTCAACAATTCACGATGTCAACAATGTAACTCAGTCAAAGATTTCAATACATAGAAATGATCAGTGTTGGAGTTGGAAATCCTAATTATCTTGATCTGATCATTAAACATGATTTATATGACTCAAACTATCATAACCCACTCCAAAAACTATGTAGAAATGTTGATTTTAAAAAGAGTAAAAATTTAAAAGAGACAGACTCTGAGACTTGCAGATAAAACAGACTTGGAGTTTGCCATGTTGATATCAAAAAGCTTTGAAAGAAAGAAAGAAAGAAAGAAAGAAAGAAAGAAAGAAAGAAAGAAAGAAAGAAAGAAAGAAAGACCTACAAATGAAGTATTAATCTTCAGTTCTAAGGACCATCAGTTGATTGAAATATACCATTTGTGGTTCACAGTAACTGAGTGTACTGTGCATCAGCAGCTTGGGTGAGGACTTCAACTTCAGCATGCCCTCCTGATCAGATAGGGCATGGGCCTCATTCACAGATTGTCCAAACAGCACTTAACCTACTTCTTTACATATGGGTCCCTTTGGTTCCTCACAAAAGAATTACAGCATTGTGCTTGGGAGAAAGTCCATTAACATTATAAATATAATAATTATGATCTCCAGTATTATAAGCAATTTTAGTTAAAGCAATGAAACAAAATGTCCCTATACAAAAGAACAATGTAAAGGGGTTACGTGTCTAAAACCACCTTTATCTAGACCTGGTTTATAGACTGGACTTTTTAACCAATACCCTTTGCAATAAGATTAAAGATCTGTATACAAACAGGAACTGTGCATGGACTGCAGGGACTAAGAACACATTCGCAAGTTCTTTCCATGACTTCCATTACATATGTCAACTTTTTAAGGTACTCATCACTCTTCCAAGTGGTTCTACTAGTTTTAAAATAGTAATTACTTGATACTGAATAATCTCTGGTACATCATTTTTCACTCTTATGGATAACCTCTCATGAGGCTTTCCCCATGATTCAAAAATGATGAATAAATACCTTAATTTCCACAGACACACTAAAACAAAAAGTATAATGCTTCGGTCCCTATAATCTGTGTACCACTGGGTAAAAAATAATGCATATGTATTGTCATTGGACTTGAAAGATTAAAAATAGTTATCACCAATTGCAGTGATTCCCCAACTCTGCCAGGACACTTTCTAAAGGCATCCATTGTTTCCAGATTAACATTCATGCTCACAGGTAACAATTAGCCTATCTGAGTACTATGGCATAGGTTTCTATATGCATCATCTCTTATGATCTATGTAATTACAGAAGACAGTTATTATTTCTGCACAGCAACTAGAAAATGAAAGCACTCTGCCCCACACACACCTCCCACTCTTCTTCTGCCAGATTTTGCTTCCTCCTGTGTGTTGATGCTACCTCATCACAGAGACAACCTACTTTTCAATAAATTTTGAATTTCTTCTTGCATTCTTGAATTACTGCATGTAATTAATCAAGTGTATTTAAAAATGACATAAAGTCACTTGTTTCACTCTTTAATTTTAGATGCCTTTGGATTTATGGACGGTAAGAGCACAGGGGTTAGAAAGATGAAATTACAGTCAGCGACATCAGAGTCTATATCCAAGCTTGAATACTCTGATTTATTTACACCCCACCCCAGAAAAGGAAGCTAATTCAGAGTCTGTGATCTGGACTGTAAAACAACAAATATTGTCTTAATAGTTATGCAAAATAACACCATCTGGCACATAATAGGTGTTGGTAAGAGTCTGTGCTGTAATCATCACCACTCCTGCCAAGTGGAAAGAAACCTTCCTATGGGACAGTTTAGCCATTTCACTGAGCCATCCAAGTGTTGGAAAAGTTCTGCATTCTCAGTGTCGCACGGAAGGCCCGCCATGACCCTTGCTATATGCAGGATGCACACGCACAGAGCAGAACTTTTCCTCTCACCCCTTGTACCCTGCTTGGGTCCCAGCTTCCTGAAAGCCCTGAGTCTCAGGCTGGTTTTGTTTTATCAGGCCCCTGGGTCACATTTGCTGTTCCCTGGGTCTTCTAAGCACGGCTTACACAGCCTCTAGCACAGGTACACTGTCCTCCAGAGCGACGTTCATCCATTCTAGACCACCTATCTCCACAATAAGATACAAACTCCATATTGAATTATTAAGAGGAGTTCTCTACCATAGGTAATTTCCCCTTGAAATTTCAACCAATACCAATTTTTGTCACACTTCAAAAATAGCTACTAAATAGACATTAGGATAAATACATTTAGAGAGTGGGTATATGTAGGGAGAAATCCTGTTTAGAGGTATTGCTGACCACAACTGCTTGGGGCTGGCTCGGTACCACTGACCACACCTGCTTGGGTGTGTTCATAGTGATGAAGCAAGGGTTTAAGTATCATAGAGGCATGCATGCGGCTCTCATTTTCTCCCTCCAGCCTGGCTGAGCAGACATCTGCAGGTCACTCCGGCTCCACTGTAAAGCTGGTCACTGGCCCTTGCGTGAGTACTATCCCTTTAATAAACTACCTGTTGTCAATCTAGTTCTGACTCCATTGTGTTTGACATTAGGTATATATATTTATTCTTTTTAAAAAGTTTAGGCATTACATAGGAACCAAGTTAAAATTTCAGTGTGAATGTTAGTTTCGACTGCTATGTTTCCAACATTAAGTACGAGAAAAATCTAAAACTCTTTCATCAGATTTGAAAATTAATACCGGATACCATGATTAACTCTAAAATTTTAATGTTTAAGTTTTATTCACTAACTCTTTGGTTAACAACTATGGGTAGATACATTATGCTCTATAAAAATAGTTGTTGGTGAGAGTAAGTAGGCGGCTAGACTGACCAAGCTTCCCCACACAATAGAGTGTGCAGTGTCAACTGTCCATCTTTAGTCTTCTATACACCATGGCATGTCATAGTATTTCCAGAAAGAACTGAATAGGCACACTAATTCTCAAGGCCAATGTCAAAAGAATCCATTCCTGACTGCTTCCTTTCCCTTCCAAAGAAGCAGCTTAGCAGGGAGACTGGGAAGAAATTAGAAACTGTAGGAGTCCCAGAAAATAAGGGAGTTAAGACACAGGGCACAAAGGGAAGTTTGTTTCAGCCACAGAGGACACCTTCAGTAAAATGGCTGAAGAGAAACAGGATCAGGCATTGAAGACAACAAGGAGAACTCTAGGGATAAATGGGGGTGGGGGGGTCTGTGCTGTGGGAGAAGTATAGGGCAATGAAGACCTGGCAGAGCAGCAAAGGTCTCAAGACCTTGCTGAGAATAAGAAGCTAATTTGGTCTGAGAACTTCCTTCCTAAATACCCAGGGAGCAGGCTGGCTAATGTCATTTTAGTTTTCCTTTCCTGAGAAATATTCTAGAAGCTGGTATGAGTATAGGTAGGTACATCCAGACTGTAAGGTATTGTCTTAGGACCAAAGGGAAAAAAATGAAAGTGTTTTGCTCTTTTTGAAAAAAGGTTTGTACTCTCTCTCTCTCTCTCTCTCTCTCTCTCTCTCTCTCTCTCTTCCTTGGTGTGCTGGGCTAATGACAAGCACAGCATCAACTCAGTGAGAACATTTGTGAAAAGTGAAGTGGCCTCTTTCATACTGCTGGATGATACGTATCTGTTCATTTTTCAGTCCCAATTGTGCCTCTCTTAGCAGATGCTGCTGTACTTGGCTGATAATAAACTGCACAGTGCTGTTGGTCATGCTGGCTTCTTCCTGTTTAGGGAATCATAAACTGGAGAACTTTTCTGTTTGTACTTGTTCCTAATGAGGTCTGTGGGCAGCTAGAAGCACCCGGCACTCACATTACCATGAGTTCTCCACTCAGTGTCACTCAGCACAAAAGTCCTCTGCCCTGGCTCCCACAGTCAGCACTTGATGTTGGTATCACAGCCAGATCAGCCATTAGTGGTGGTTATTTGCAAGCAAGCAGCTTCTTCTTCTTGAGTCCCTGTTTTAAAAGGTGGCCCCAAGGCACAGTGATACATCTACATAATAGTTTAGCAGAATCACAAAAATCTTAGCATATTTTATTGTATGCTTAATATCATAGCTGGAAGTGAGGGTGTGTCCCCAATGTTGTTTCTCCACAGGATCAGTTACATGAGAATCATGATTCCAATGAAAATCATTTATGCTATTGAAAAGAAATCTAGTTTCTGGCAACTTACATAGACACACTCTCTTATGAGGGGATAAGCTAAGAATATATGGTACAAACCAGGCATTGGTAGTGCATGCCTTTAATCCCAGGACTCGGGAGGCAGAGGTAGGAGGATCTCTATGAGTTCGAGGCCAGACTGATCTACAGAGTGAGTGCCAGGACAGGCCCCAAAACAATACAGAGAAACCCTGTCTCATAAAACAAAAACAAAAAATAACAAAAAACAAAAAGAATACATGGCACAGTTTGCTACTCAAGTGAAAGATTTGTGATATCAATCATCAAGGAAAATATAAATATCTGGTTTAAAAGAGAAAGCTTAAATGCCACAAAAACCCTTTCCTGAGTTAATCTACTTACTCACTTCCATTAATATTAAAAATCATCATTAAAGTTTTGTGTAGTGGAAGTGGAAAGAAAAACAATAAATTGGCTGATACTAGCATTTCTTCATAATGTATTCCAGGATCGTTTTCTAGTAAGTGTAGAACAGACTCTGAGTTAATGCCTTCTTAATATCATAGTGTTCCAGAGTCTTTTGACTTGTCCTAGCAAATCTTTGTTCCATAAAAAAAAAAATACCAATCTGTTCCTTCCTGTATAGAAATGAAGCATCATAGCAGACAGCCCAGACTCAAAGGGTTTGGGACAACAACCTTTCTGTTTAAATGTCCATGTGGCTTAGCATTCTTTTCATTATTTCAACTGTATTTTCTATGAATGTTACAAATATAAAGAAAATGGAAAAGATGCATATTTGGGTATCTTCTAATTTAAAGATTTTCATTCTTCAGCTTATATTTTTAATCAACGCAATGCTAGTTTAACATCTAACTGACTTCATTTTTGTTAAAGTAGAATTCTCTGAAATGTAGTCCTTGAAATATATTTTGATGATTCACCTTCATTGCAAAATTAAGTTCAGCTTGGCATTGGGCTAGGTTACAGAGGACCACTTGGCAGGCTGAAGTTCTGAATAGGAATGCCTTAAAACACTAGTGCAGTCTGTGACATACCCAGTTCATAGATCAAACACTAAAACAGCTCAAACATCAGGAAAATAGGCATGTGCCTGCTTCCCGTGGTATTTCAGACCCCACATCAACTCATGCACATGCACAAAAGTAACATTTTGAAGTTTTTCTAGAACTCTATGCAGATCCCAAAGCACTTCTTATCATCAGGCTGCCTTTCTGAACATAATTTAAATGAATGGGTTATCACTATGTAAAAGTGAATTGAATGCTAACCCATAAGGCCACTAAGACACCTCACATTTTCATATAAATTAGAAAAACTGCTTCAGTTGCCCTCAGTCTAGGTGAGATTCTATTTTTCTTAGGCTAGGTTCTTTCTTCTTAACCTATTCTAAAGCAAACTATTTTTCTTATCTTATTTTGCAATGTTTTTCATTCATCTTCATAAAGCTAAACTTAAGTTCTGAGTCACAAACAAATTTTGCAAAGGTTTCTTCTGTAACCCTTGACTTACCAACACACATTTCCCAAAGATCATGAGTTCAAAAGTCCTATTTTCAAGTCAGTTATCTTTAACCAAGAGTGTGTCAGCTTCCTACAGGAAGGATAGAAAATGTAACCAGAAAATAATTAGGACATTGAATGCAAAGCTTCAATGGAGAAGTTATGGGGAATGTACTTCTGTGTATGTTCATCTTATTAATTGTTGGATAAAGTACTGTTTGGCCAATGAGGCAGCAAGTTAGACTGGACTAGGAATCAAAGAGGATTCTGGGAAACATGGTAAAGAAGTGGTGATCCAGGCAGGAAGTGACATAGCAGGGAGACTCATATTTAAGGAGGGACAAGCAGAAAGTGGCCCCTTTTCCCTTCCGCTCTTCCTCCAGTGGTGCGATGTGATTCACCAGCAAGGGAGGGCACCAATGGACTGCGTCTGATAAGATAAGTCTTGTAAAATATATAGATTTATGATAATTAAGACTGAGCTAACAGATGAGAATCCTAGTCATTGGCCAAGCAACATTTGTACCTAATACAAGTCTCTGTGCATTAATTTGGGCCCTAACTCATCGAGCAGAACTCAGGAGGCTGGTGGAGACCGTCCACGTGGCGGTAAGGCTCGGGCAGCTTTTGGTGGAAAGATTTATAATAACAGGGAAGGTGGGAATAACTTGTATTTTTAAAAGACTTTTTTCTGATATTTTATGGAGCGAAGTTTTATCTGATATTGATCATGATTTCTGTCTCACTGACAAAACATGTATTTCTATTTGACTTTATGTCAGCCATTATCCAATAAACTTCATACTTGTAGCACTGCCTGGCAAGAAAATAAACTTTGCTTCATCTTTGTTATATTCTTTACATGGAATCTCTTTCCTATCAACACTTGCAAAACTCAAAACTAGCCACAAGCTCCAAAATCAAAAGTCATTCCCAGTGTTTTAATGTTTACTTCTTTTCTCATTATTACTTTAAATAACACCTAAAATGCACCTGTTACTGGTTACAAGATGGTATTTTGTTTCATATGTATATTTAGTAATATTAAAATTGAGTAAACCTATATCTAAATCCTAACACATCTATCAACTCAGCATGGTCAAACCCTCCAAATCCTTTCTTACTAGCTTTGGGAAAAACATAGCACATTGTAATTATCTATAGTTAATTTTCTATGCAGCAACACACCAGAATATTATTCACTTCTAACTATAACTTGTTATTCACCAACCATCCTTCCCCTACTGTTCCCCCCACTAACATTCTCCCCAGGATCTGATAAGCTACATTTCATTCTCAACTGCAATGAGATCAATGTTTTTATATTCCACTTTTGAGTGATATAATGTGGTACTTGTGTCTGGCTTATGTTAGCACAACGGCCTCTACTTCTAGACATTGTGTTCCAGTGACAAGCTCACATCCTTGGAGGACACCATTCTCCTGTATATAGGTAGTACTTTTTTCCCCCATGTGTTAGTTGATAGATGCTTAGATTTTTTTCATTCTTGGAGATTGTGGATTGGGCTGCATTAAACTTCACATGGAGATGATTCTTCAAAATACTGATTTTTGTTTTGGATATATATAGAAGGATTACTAGGCCATTGGCACCTCTTTTAACTTTGAGGGGAACTGCCACACCGTTTGACATTATGGCTACACTAGTTTACACTCCTGCTAACATCCACAAGAGTCTCTCCTCCGCATGCTCCCCAGTGCTTTTCATCTTAAATCTTTTAGATAGCAGCTGTTCTTACTAGTGAGGTCATAGCTCATTGTGAGTGACTTTGATCTTAGTTTCCCTGGTGAAGCTTGGTTCTGCGAATGCATTGTCCACATTGACATCTTCCTTTGAAATGTTTTTATTTGGGTCTGGTGCCCATTTTTAATTGGATTATTTCATGTTTTGCTGTTGAGACATTTGAGTTCTATGGATAGTCTCAATACCAGCCCCTTGTCAGATGTTTGCTTGGAATGTGCATCCTTCTAACTTTGTATTATCTCCGCCCTCTGTGATTATTCCCTTGTTGTGCAGAAGCTGTTTAATTCCATGAAGTCTCATTTGTTAGTTTTTAATTGTGTTTCCTGTCTAATGTCCAGAAGTCTTTTCTCTATATTTTCTTACTGTAATTTCATAGTTTCAAGATTTACATGTAGGTCTCCAATCAATCTTGAGTTAATTGTCATATGCAGAAAAAGACACAGGTCTGATTCCAATTATCTCCAGGTGGCTATCCAAACGCCCCAGTACCATCTGTTGAAAACTCTTTTCCCAGTGCAGTCTTAACAGCCACATCAAAGATCAACTGCCTGCTAATGCAGGAGTTTACTTCTGGAATCTCTGTTCTGTCCCATTAGTCTATATGTCTGTCCTTTTTTATTTTTGTACCCTAATAGTATCCAGTACCACATATCAGATATTCATAAAAGTTTTATGTTTAAATTAATAACACATTCAAATTAAGCCTTTGAACTTGACATTATCTGACTTTACCTTTATGTAACTCCTGTATACTGTGATGGAATATTTCCAGGTTTTGCCCTAAACTTCATTAAATAGTGTGACACTCTGCTGCCTACAGGTAAACTCAAAGTAGGAATAAAACCCACCTACCTTAACATTTCAAAAATAAAGCATCAGTTGCTTGTTAGCCTTTAAAAATTATCTCTTAATAAAGACAGCAATTCTGCTGTGTTTTGATGAACTTTAGATACGTGATGGACATAGGCATCTGCCCTGGTGTTCCACACCAGAACATGATGAGCAGCTCCTGTAGGATGTCAAAGGCTTTGTTGTTCTCTCTTTCATTCCCCTTACAGCATTGCTGAGATAAATGATCTGCATGCTTATTGTTGGCTTGGAGCAGACTCTTGCTCAGTGAGGTCAGCTGATGAAGCAATGAAGCCAGTTCTTCACCAGCCTTTCATGTACAGTCCCTTTCTCTCCATCAAAAGCTGGGTTTAGAGTTATGTGCAAATCTGTAATCTCCATTAAACAGCTCCTGTTCGAAAACCTGATGGAATTTTTCAAAGCGTGCAGAGTGGGTATCTGCTTTTCAATGCAGGAAAGCACTAAAACAAGCAATTGTTATCTCTGTTAAGTTGAAATCTCTGGGAAAACTTCAACAGACTCTGAAAAATAGAGATAATAAGATTTCAACATACAACTGAAAAAGAGAAACCAGGAAATGGGAAGTGCGGTGGTATATATTACTCTCATTATTCCATTTTTGAAAACTGAACCAAATCCAGAAGGATTTACTTGGTCACTGAAAAGTGTTTAAAGAAGTAAGGATGTAGTCAGCATGAGCTTACCTTTTGTCACATGTTATAAGGCACACAAATGTTGTGTCAAAGGTTGACAAGAACCTTAGAAGTAACTAACACTTTCTATATTCTGAAGATTAAATAAAGTCTTACCAGGCTAGGTAATCTGTAAATTTTGTGTCACTTTGCACACATTTTTAATAATTTCAACTTTGATGTTTGGACCAAAGTTCAGTCTCTTTATCATGACACAGAAGACACTTAGCAACCTGTTGCCTCTGTGACTCTGTCTCCACTATTCCCCCCATGACAGCCTCCTCCTTCCACAGGCCATGCCCAGTTCTTTCACCCAAGGCTTTTTAATAAGACACGCTCCCTGTACTCTATCTCATGTCTATTTTGTAGACTTACTCACTGTCCCAGATTCATTCCAAACATCCTTCATAAAAGAAAACATATGTAACTATTCCATCACAGTGACCCCACAGCCAGACTCCCTCCTTTTATATGCATTTCCACACTATTTTTTGGCACGGCCTGAAGCTTGTCCCTCTGTTTAGAGACTGAGCACCAACAATTACTCACACACCTTGCAGTGTCCAGTATTTCAAATATCTCTCAGAAAAAATACATCCTTCATATAATTTGGCAAAGTAACAAAAATAACAAAAGAATGAGTAAATGAAAGTCTATATGCAAAGAATAAAGCTACAATAACTTAAATTCAAGATTCTTTTTTCTCTTTTTTTTCCCTCCATTTTTTATTTAAATTAGAAACAATATTGTTTTACATGTAAATCCCAGTTCCCTCTCCCTCTTCTCCTCCCCTGCCCCCCAATAAACACCCTACCTATTCCATACCATTTCTGCTCCCCAGGGAGGGTGAGGCCTTCCATAGGGGATCTCTTCAGAGTCTGTCATATCCTTTGGGATAGGGCCTAGGCCCTCCTCCCCTGTGTGTCTAGGCTGAGGGAGTATCCCTCTATGTGAAATGGGCTCCCAAAGTCCATTCCTATGCTAGGGATAAGTACTGATCTACTACAAGAGGCCCCATAGATTTCAGAGGCCTCCTCCCTGACACCCACATTCATGGGGTCTGGATCAGTCCTATGCTGGTTTCCCATGATCAGTCTGGGGGCCAAGAGTTCCACCTTGTTCAGGTCAGCTGTTTCTGTGGATTTCACCAGCAAGGTCTTGTCCACTTTGCTCATCATTCCTCCTTCTCTGCAACTGGATTCCAGTTCAGTTCAGTGTTTAGCTGTGAGTGTCTACTTCTACTTCCACCAGCTGCTGGATGAAGGCTATAGGATGGCATATAAGTTAGTCATCAATCTCATTATCAGGTGAGGGCATTTTAGTTAGCTTAGACGGGTAATTGGTGTCATCCTTGTCGATCTCTGGACATTTCCCTAGTGCCTGATTTCTCTTTAAATCTATCTTGAATACAAGATCTTTAGTTAACAGCCATTTGTAGCAAACCATTATTATTTTCTAGGTTTGCTTCTAGGTAAGCACCTGAGATGAGAGTTGCAGAAGGCTTGATTGACACCTGAAAGATAAAGATATGCATGCCACCATGCCTCAAGGTCAATTATTGTGAAGCTATTAGACTTATTATTTAAAAATCTGCCTTCCTGATCTAATGTAATTGCTCAACATCACACACACACACACACACACACACACACACACACACAC